GGCACCCATGCTAAGGGTCGCCTACCCCTGACATACACTTTTCTCAGTATTATGAAGCTATTGAGGGGTAAAATCATTTTCCACCTTGCTTTCCCTGTATTATAGCCTCTGCGTAGTGCTCACAAGTTTATCTAAGCAGGTGGGTGTTTGGTGATTAATTAAGATGATCTGCAGTACTGGTAAGCAGTATTTTCTTAGATTTCATAGACGTTAGGGCTGGAAGGGGACTCAAAGATCATCAAGTCCAGCCCCCACCCCAGGGGCAGGAAGTCAGCTAGGGTCAAAGGATCCCAGCACGATAAGCATCCAAGCATTTCTTGAATGAGTCCAGAGTAGGTGCCTGCACCACTTCTGGAGGGTGTTTATTCCAGGTCTTGGGGGATCGGACAGTAAAGAAATGTTTTCTTATGTCCAGCCTAAATTGGTCTTGAAGGAGTTTATGACCATTGGTCCTTGTTTTTCCTTGGGGCACTTTGGTGAACAGACATTCTCCCAGGTCCTGATGTAGACCCCTTATGTACCTATAAGCGCCATCAGGTCCCCCCTGAGCCTGCGCTTTTCCAGGCTGAAGAGTCCCATGGCTCTCTTCCTCAACCATAAGGAAGACTCAGAGAAAGAAGAGCTGGACTATCTGAAATTTGCTCTCTCTCTCTCAAAATTCATGATCAAGGAACTTCCTGTCTCCAGAGGGAATCTCCACTTGCCTCTGGCTGATACTTGTGAGTAAGCTACCCAAGATCTAACTAGCTATAAAGCTTACAGTAACTCAGATGTGTGATCAAAGGCTACCCAGCCATGCCAGTTTGCTCTATGGGATTTCTCTGACATTGCTCTACCCTGTACCCTGTTGTAACCCTACCCCTCGTAACCAATAAAGTTCTCCTTTGTACCTAGCATGGGAGACTTATCGGGTGTGGGTCTAGATTATGCCTTGGGGTCCCCTTGGTTTGGCTGACTAACGGAGACCACTACTTGTGCTTCCTGCTGAGGGAAGCACCCCCAAGTGCTTGAAGTGAGACACAAGTATCTTCAAGGGCTACTAGGCCTGTGTTACCCACAGGACACAGAGCCAGAATCAAGCCCAGCCCTGGGTGGTGGCGATTTTTACCCCAGGCTAGCAGGTGTGGTCCAGGAAGGGGGTCAGCCAGACATGAGGCACCCCCAGGGAGGCACTTGGAGCCTGGAAGGTGGTCGGGCACAGCGAGGTGGGTGGCTCAAAGCAGGAGCTCCCTCTACTGGTCCGCCACAGAGCTCATCCACTCACGTTAGAAACTTTGTGACCAATCGGATTTGGATGAGTGATCTTCCCATGAGATTTTAAGGAAACATAGGGTGAAAATGGTTAGGAAGCCAGGTCAGTAACTACATATGTATCACAACTCTGCAGATACTCCTTACACCAAAGGACAAGGCAAGAAACAGACAGCAAGAATTTAAGAAGGCTAAAAGAAGGCCAACAACATATGAAGTGATATTCTTCCCTAGACTTATGAATTAATGTTTTTCCCCATGAAACATAGGAGGATGAAACAGAACTACCTGCTCTAGAACAAACAAGATCGTATCTGGGCCTTCTACTGTTACAGCCATTAACAGAACACTTTCTGTACCTTACTTTCTTCCCACAGCCATGACACAAATAGAATTTTGCAATTACTCTTTAAAATGTTTGCCTTAATATCCTATGCCCCCTATCTTAATGATGACTTATTATCACAATGTATTTTAACCTATATCTGAAACAGAATTTATTTACTGCAAAATGCTATGCTTTGTAACACAAAAACGCCTAAGATAGAAAACTTTATATAAAATATCTCCCTTAACATACTATGATAAAGTGAGGTGAACTCTTTTATACATTGCAGCTAAATATAACTTCCACCATGTCATGAAAGATGGAACTTTAAGCAAAGTATTCAGCAAACCACAAGACAAACTCATTTCAAAAGTACTCAGCTTTCCCAATGTCCTATCTCCATGTTAAATATGTTATCAAAATCTGATATACTGAAAGGGGAAAGGGAACAGGATTCCAGCTCACTGCTCTTGATCTAATGTTGCAAGTATCCCACATTTACATACCACTCAAACATCCCTTTTTCAATAGCTGTGCACAGCATTATTGGGGATAGCCTTCAAAGGCTTCCTAAACTTCCATCTCTCCATACACAATGAGTAGATCCAGGACTTCTGCATGGCTCCTAGCAGCTACACAAAGCATGGCACAGTACTACAATCTAAAAATACTAATTATGGAGTGATTAATCTGACCTCACGAATGGCCCAATCCTGATGACAAATGAGCATTTAAAACAGAAAGATTATAATGGTCAAGAGAATCACACAGCAGTTAGAAGGGGCACAAATCAATCCTGGCAGGATGCCAATCAGGGTGGCATGGCAGTTAAACGACTGTCAAACAAGAACATTAGTCCTCGTTAAATTAGTGTGTAGTAAACAAAATATAATTTTTAAGCAAGAGAATAAAATACCTATAATCTGACCAATTTATATAGACTAAAAATTGTATCCTATAGAAACTAGTCATTTCAATGTATATACACTAGGTTTAATGCAAACTAAACCACCCCAGAGTAGATTAAGTCCCAAGTTTACAAAAGAATAGCCCTTGCAGAGAAATTAACTGAACAAAACTCCCCTCATTCCAAAAATTACAGAATATTTCCTAATTGTGTTGCATAGGTCAAGGGTAGCACAGATGCCACAAGTGACACGGGCAGCCTCTGTGTGGCACATGGCAAATAAGGGAGGGAACAGGGGTGGATGGGTTAAGAGCAGAAAGCAGACCAACAAACCATCAGGGAACACAGGCAGGAAACAGAAAGTATAGGAGCACATTACTTATAGGAAGTGAATGGGAGTGGCACAGCTGCCAAAAAGATTGATGCCTATTGATCTGGTTATCAAGTAAAACAACACACAATGGTTCCCACATTTTGCAAAAATTTGAACTTTCAAATAAGAGCATCATAAAGATCTCCCATTTCATACTTGAAGGAACACACACACACGTGTGTGTGCGTGCGCGTGTGTGTGTTTAAAAGGTGACTTTGTACTCCATGGGACATTACACATTTTAACAGTTTGAGTTACAGAAATATTATTGAACTCCATTATTTTATTTATATCTTGCAAATTAGATTCAAACGGACTTTGCTAGGATACTTTTGTAATGTCATAACTTGCTCTTTCAACTCTAATTTCCAATAAGATTAAACAGTTGGTGTTGCCAACTCTCACTCTTATCATGAACTGCAAGATTTTTGGTGTATTTCTTCCAAGATGAAGACACGTGACTAAAATGACAGATTCTACCCATGAACATGTAACTGGAATACGTAACAAAAGTTAAGAAACCAGTATGACAAAAAAGAACCCAATATTTATGTATTTATTTATTTATTTTAATTCAAGTTGGAGGACTGGGTCTTTTTTATATTTAAGGTTAATAATATTCAAGACTAAATACCAGGGAAAATAAGTCACTTGAATATTATTTCTATTATAGTTCAACATGCGACAAAGACATTTAAAATGCAGTTCGTGCATGCACATCTTTTCATTTGTAGAAAAACTCTTAGAATAACCATTCCCTCCCCCATACCCGCACCTCCCCAAGACAATTACTGAAAAAATATCATGTTCTCCGATTCCATCATACTGACTTTCAAGCAAATGCATTAGGGATCAGTAGGGTCTCACAATGTAAGTTGGTGGTAAAGACAAACTTATTTACCATATTAATTAAATGGTCTATTTAACATGGAATATCAATTCTCTAATCACATCTCATTTGAACTTCTTATTTCAATTAACAACTCTAAAGTCTACCAACAGAGAACCTACTGTTCTAGGATCATTAAGAACATTTTCATTATCTGTCAAATGAGGGAGTAAAAGGCAGAAACTGCAAGCACTCTCAGGAGTAGGCCTCTACCCTACTTAAGAGATGATTAGGGAGTAAGCATCAGTAGTACTCATTAGTTGCTTAGCAATGAAAAGATTTCCACTGAAAGAAAAAATGAAACAAAGAAATGGAGGTGTTGCCATGCAAATCAGTAAATGGATAGTCTTTCATCCACTCAAGGGTAATCTCTCCCCCATTAAATCTAATCAATCTAGATTAAGACATTGATGGACATCTCAGACAGAGGAGTGAAATTAGTTGCACAATATCTACAAACTCAGAAAAATCAACAGAACAATTAATGATCCACATAAATTTATGCATGCATAGTAATTGTTTTCATTATACACATATTTGAAAGGAAATCAAATAGAATGGAAATGGTTATTTATTCTATTTATTATTCTGCTCCTACAGCTTCTCAAACTTTATGGTTACTTCAATTTGTTTAATAGTCTATACAGCATAAGCAAGAAAATAGTTTAGGAACTCAGAACAGAAAAGTGAAGATCTGTGATGTACAGGTGACTTATGAAAGCATAAGCCAGTCAACTTTTACAATAACTTATTGGTACTGATTTAGCTAGATCACATAATGTAAATTATAATAGCAATAGAAAAAATATTCTTGGACCTTATACAGAAAAAACAGTCCATTTAAAAACAACACTCAGATGCCCTCTTCTTAATAATCATATGAAGATTAAATTACACATTATGGAAGAACATTAGGCTATACCCTAAGCAGTTTCAGTCCAACTTCAGCAATCTGATATATACCGGAATTCCTTCTAAAACTTCATTAGGACTATACATGGAGGAAGGTTTAGAGTACTCTTAAAGTCAACTAGATACCTACATTAATCAAGTTATTGGACGAAGGCCTTAATCTATACAAATCAATAATTTTGTACACCACCTATTTTAAACAAACAGTTTAGATGTAAATAATATAAAAGTATATTTAAAAGAGGCAGATAATATACAGTAACACTGACCAAACAGATTAATCTGCAAATAATATTAAAATCCCAACCAACACATAATAAAGTATTGTGGCAAATCTTACCTATATATTCACACATGAAGACCACAAAAAAAGGAGTAACTAGATCATTTATTCCCTGAACGTATCCACTGGCTGGATGCCGTATTGCCCAGATAAACAAAATTCGTTCAAAGATCTACGGGGGAAAAAGTTAAAGAAATTATGAAGAAAGCAATTTGTCAAACAACTAAGCACATTTACAACAAGTCATTTAAAAACATACAAGGACAAATTTAATATCAGACAGTCCCTAGCATAAAGAGCATGCATATAGAAGCATAAATTAACACTGGTATTAATAATGTAGTGTCAACGTTAATTACGTTTCTCAGTTATTTAAAAGACAGTATCTTCAGGATATTAGCACAGGCTAACGCCAACCTCACACATAGTTAATTGGTTACAAAAGGAACTTTGTTCATCAGCACATTTAGAAGAGAAAAAAAATGTTCACACCCTCCTCCCCAAAAAGTTTTACATCACCTTTCCATGACCTCCCCACCTCCAAAGACAAAAAATATTGAAGAACTATATACAAAACACTCCTAAATAAAATGCACACCTTATTTTTGGAAGGTTAAACGTAGGAAAAAAATATTTCCAAAGTCATGGCTGACTGTGACCAAGTAAATCCTCCTGGAAAAATAGAGTCTAAACAAGGTGATGTCCCAGACCCTCCGCCAAGGGCAGTAGCAAGACTATTAGTTCTTTACTGTAATTAGTTCTTGCTGTGAATTGAGTGTCTATATATATATTCTGTACTTCACCAGCACAAGATACTGCCCAAACTCCATTATCATGTTGCTGCTTGCTGGTCTGCTTAATACTAAGGTTAGTTCACTGCTGGTAATAAAGATGGTTCTCCCATGTTCTTTCTTCCATGATCTTTCTGGGACAAAAACCCCACAGATACAGAATAGTGACAATGAAGATGGGATCCCAATAAGTACAACGCTTCTAGTGCTTCAGTCGAGAGAACAAAAGGAAAAAAAGAAAAAAAAACCTTGCAGTGATTCATGTTGTAATCAAGCAGACTGGGGCTCTTCTCCTACCATGTTAACATGGCTACTTTGAGCAATACAGAAGAATGTGATGGGTCCAGTCCATCCACCTGGGACTCATACACTGACCAGCGAGATTTGACTAAGTACAGGCATTCAAAGAGCCCAAGGCAGAAGCACTTTAAGTATCACACTTTACTCAAAGCACTCTAGATTAGGTTGGGAGTGAACAGGATCAACATCTGCTGTTCAGTGCCAGGAGGAGGAGGAGAGCTCAGAGCCTGCCTGCACAAGCTGAGGCCAGTAGGCTGGGGGCACTCCCAAACTACTCCCAGGAGGCTTCCCAAAAATGCCGAGTTCAACTGAGCAGCCAGCCATCCCTGACTGACCAGCACAGACCCTCTCTCCCCAACCCCCTCAGCCCCCGTAGGCTGGCTGCTGTCAGCACCAGCAGCTGGAGGATGAGGGGGGAAAGGAAGCCCCCATGCTTCATGGACACTCCTCCCCCACCCCAGCTTGCTAGCTCGGGTCCTGGGGGGAGATGCAGGTAAACGTGGCAGGGGACCTCCACCTGCCTCCCACCCCTTTGCCCCAGCCTTCTGGCAGCTTCAGCTCAGAACTGCCCGACTTCCTGTTGCATGGGGAACTGGGCGTGGGGGGAACATACCCCATGCCACATGCCCCCTCCCCCCCCTGCTTGCTGGTTTGAGGGGGGGGGGCCAAACTGGGCCTATGTGGCAGGAGGGCTCCATTGCCCTCCCCACCACTACCACCACCAGCGCAGTGAAAATCCACACAGCTCTAAGCTGCAGCCATCAGGAAGCAGAGTGCAAGGAAACAAAGTCCCCTGCCGTGCAGACTCAGCCCAGCCCCCTCCCCAAGCAGCATTCCCTCTAAGCTGCATTATGTGTGCAGCCGTGCAGGCACGCCCCTGGCAGCACAGCATGAGCACACCTGCACATGCCGCGCAGCTTAGACAGAACGCTGTCCCCAAGATCTGAGCTAGCAAACCCAGTGGGACATTCAGGAGGGGGCCTCCATTCCCATACCCCCAGGTCCCAGCACAGTGAAAAGCCATGCACACCTCCCAGCAGCAGCAGTCAAAGGGCTGGGCACGCAGGGGGGAATGGAGCTCCCCTGCCATCTAGACCTGGCCTGGCCCTCTCCTGCCGAAACCCAAGCCAGCAAGCTGAAGTGAGGACCCAGGCAGCAGCAGGGCTCTGTTCCTCCCACATGCCGAGCCATGCAAGGAGGAGACAAAGCCTCTTCAATTTCATCTCTCTGTGACAGCCCAGGGGTGAGGCTGGACCAGTGCTCTCACAGCACAGACTGGCTGAGTCAAGCAGGCTGCCCAGTGAGGGGCCCCTGAGATGCCATCAGAATGTGACCTCTCTCAACTCATGATGGGTCTACTTATGGGGTGTGCTCCTTGGTGTAGTCTCTGGAGGGCCAGGTGTGGGAGCTCGAGGAGGAGATATGTCAGCTGTGGAGCATCAGGGCCCATGAAGACTTCACTGACAATTACTGCTAGACCCTTCTCCAGAAGGTAGAGGAGAAACAGACTGAGATGGTAGCCAACGTGATGGCTAACCAAGACGACCCATCTGGAGCGACCTGGAAGAAAGTCACCTCATGCTCCAGAAAACGAAAGGCCAGAGCAGCTCCTCCCCTGGCCATGCACAACAGGTACACTCCCCTCCCCATACATGAGGAGGCTCCAATGGTGACACCAGAAGAGGAAGATAAGCAGCTTGCTGCCACCCCCAAAAAGAGGCGCAAGGTGGTGGGTGGGCATGAACAAGCTCATGCCCCCGGCAGCCGGGGGGCACAGTGGCAGCGGAAGCATGGCAGCAGCAGCAGCAGCAAGCGGAGGAGCTCCCGCAGATGCCACCAGCTCTGTCAGCGGTGAGGGAGGGTGGCGAACATTGACCAAGGGTCAGCAACCCCATGCAGACACCGCCAGCCAGCAGGGGTCATGGACCGCCCACAATGCTGCCAGCGGTGTTGGCAGCAGGGTAGCAAGTGGCGACCACCCATAGGCACCGCTGAGTGCCAGCAGCACCTTTTTGTAGGGGGTGCACCACCACTCATGGGGTGCACATGCACCCCTATTCACCCCCCTATGCATTGCCCCTGGTTGGGGGGGGAGGACTCCCTCCTGCAGGGCATTGAGGGACCCATCTGCCATCCAGACCAAACTAAGATTGCTGAGGGACAGGGATACACAAATTCAAAACATGTCCAGAGACCAACATACAAGTAAACCCTGTAGATAGAGACACCAGGAGAGCCACCTTTTGCAGGAACTGAGGGAACAGTTCTCCATCAGCAGGACAGGAAGACACAGGCCTCAGTAGGAGGACTCAGGTGCCCATACACTAACGCCAGGAGCATGAGGAACAAGCAGGAGAAGCTAGCCATCCTACTCTCCAGTATGATCTAGTAGGGATTACAGAGATCTAGTGGGACTTCTCATATGACTGGAAGGTAGCTATAGAGGGCTAACACCCTGCATAGAAGGGACCGGGTGTGAAAGAAAGGTAGAGGCATTGATCTCTGTGTGAAACAGCAGTACACACCTCCTTGGAGGCTGATATTGGCTCAAAAAATGAACAGTTTCAAACCCTCTGGGTCAAGCTGCGGGGAGGGGGGGGCAGCAAGAGAGATCTAACTGTAGGTGTATACTACAGATGACCAAAGCAGGGGGAGGAACTCTATCTGGAGTTCACCCAAGAATTGAGTGAGGCCACATGTGCACGTGGCATGGTCGTCACAGACAATTTTAATTACCCGGACACCTCCTTGGAGGAACACTCGGCCAAGTTAGATCAGTCACAATTCTTCCTGACCTGTGTCAAGCAGCTCTTCCTGATTCAGGAGGTGCATGGGCCAACTGGAGGCGACACCCTGCTAGACTTGGTCCTGACCAAAGGAGATGGTCTTGTGACCAAACTTAAATACAGAGGGAAGTCTGGGCAACAGTGACCATGAGATTATCATGTTCACTGTCTGATGTAAAGTAGACAAAACAGATAATAGGATTGAAGTCTTGGACTTCAAAAATGCAAATATCAACAAGCTCAGCTCCCTAGTAGGTCAAGTGCTGTGGGACCAGGGACCAAAGGCAAAATGTGGTTGTTCCTTAAGGACACAATCCTTGAAGCACAAAGGAAGTCCATTCCCACACAGAGAAAAGGTGAACAGAAGGGCTAGGAAGTCGTCTTGGCTAAACAGGGAAATCACTGTCCTCTTAAGAAAGAAGAGGCTTATAAACAATAGAAGCTCAGGGCGGGCACAAGGAGGACTATTCCACAACAGCCCGCATTTGTAAGAGACAGATAAGACAGGCTAAAATGCCGACTGAACTTAGATTAGCAATGGGAATCAAGGACATCAAGAAATCCTTATTTAGATACATAGGAAACAGGAGGAAAACAAATGGGACTGTGGGGCCATTACTCAACAACTCAGGAGAGCTGGTTATCGGTACCAGAAGAAAACTAAACTCCTGAATGACTACTCCGCCTCAGTCTTTCACTGGACAAAGGGGAAACCATGCCAGGTAGAGCACAAGATGAGCACAGTAGGATTAATTGCCTTTCTACTATTTCCATAGAATTGGTGTATGACCAATTTTAAAAAAATGAGACATACAGGAGCCCCTCACAATTCACCAGTGATCCGTTCTGGAGAGCCCAGCAAATGGCGAAATCCATGAATACTGACGGGATCCCCCATCAGACCCCACAGCTGCCCTGCCCCCTTCCCCCAATGAGCAGCTGGAGGCATGGGGCTCCACCACAGGGCCTGGGGACCAACTGCGGCTGCCTCCAGGGGAGAAGATACCACCACCACCGCTGCCTTCCTCCCCATCCCCAGCACCCACTCTCCCCCCAACCTGGCT